ATGCATTTTTCATAAATTTTTCATATATACATATATATATATATATATATATAATATATATAAATACATAAAATATATGAAAAATTGATGTGGCTACTCAAATGAAAGGTCTCGATGATTGTAATGTCGGGATGAGCTTATATCTTTAAAAATATCAATAGTTCACAAGATACAAGGTCATTTCTTTATTACGTATTTAGAGATAGAGCATTTTAGAATGCAGCCTATATATAATATAAATTATCATATAAATAAACTGGCCATGAAATTTTGTTTATTCTCTTAATAATATAGATGATTTAAAACGATTAGACAGGATTAAAATTATATTATTTTTTATAATAATAACCTCTTTATCCCCACCATAGCAACAATTAACCATTTTTATCTCGTATTTGCGCGTCTGCGCAAAACTTAAACCAATATATGGTGTTAGGCCGACTTTTAGGCTAGAATTCATATTAGATTATTATATATTATATATTTTAGGTATAAAAAATTAATATTTTTAAAAGGCCATTCTCAGAGGGTACCCCTCTCTTTGTAAAAATATTTTTCGCCGCCTAGCGGTCAATAAAAGTACTAAAAAAACCCTAGATTTTTCAAAATTTTAAATGAAATTTAAGATGGTATAAATGATATATATTTAAATAATATTATAGTTTCAAAATAATTAAAAAAAATAAATATTTATTTTGAAATAGTTTTTAATAAAAAAAAATGGTAAAATGTGCTGTAAAAAAATAGTATTCTAATCGTGTTCGGAATGTCATTGACATAAAATATTTTAATAGAAAATAACTTAATAATCAGGTCATTAGATAAAAAAAAAAGTAAACGTAGTTATAATTTTAATAACCTATAGATAATATATAAAAAATTACTTACCATTTCAAATAAATCGTAGTCAATCGTAATCTTGTAAAAAAAAATCTGAGATGAATCTAGTGGGTTATTTAATTTGACATATGTAAACAATAAACATGTATATCAGCAAACGTAAGTGTAGTAATTGAACAGCTACATTCGCGTTGTTATTAATTATAGAAATAATCAAATTAATCAGACTCGAATTCAATATAAGGAATTTATACTATCGAAGACCGTAATTTTTAATGAAATTTTCAGATTGTGTTACATAAGGTCGTATAATTTTTTTTTTGTTTTTTTTTAAATCAACGTAAGTTTGCTTAGAACTTTAAGAAATTGAAAATAAAAAAATTAGAAAAACGGTTCACCCTAAAGGCCATCCGTGCAACTTCCCGCTAATTCCATTCCTGGGTGCTTAAAATTTTACTGAAAAGATCAAATAATATTGAATCATTTTTTTTCATTTAAAATGTATAATTGCATGCTAAAATAGTATAAAATGGGTATCAAATATTCAAGAGAAAAATTTTCTCAAGGTGAAAAAATTTTTTTCTTAGCTGAAGTAGGGTAACACTGCTTCCTTTAAGTTTCTAAAAATCTTGATCAATTATAAAGATTTATTGTATGAAGTATTTATGATAATTTGAATTGAGAAATAATTATTTCCACCAAGGATGTAATTTAAAAAAAAATCATTACTTCAGCCAACACAACTTCGGTCTTCGTTCAGGCACCCGAAAATTTTTTCGAGCCAAGAATTTCGTTCTCGATTTATTGAGAGGTTTTCTTTTCTTTGGGAATAATTGTTAGTTTTATTAACAAATTAAAAAATGTTTTTTTCTTCCAAGTTACTTTTTTCAAAACGCATATCAAAATCAAATTTATTTGAGATAATCTTGCTAATCTCATTTTTCTAAAAAACAATAGTAAGATTTGAAATTCAGAACTCAATCTAAAGTTAAACCCCGGGTAATTTCGATTATATATATATAGCAAGCCATATATAAATATATATGGAGCTATATATAACATTGCCATGGTTGTATATTGCTTTATATATAATTACATATGAATGTATACACAAATTTTTTTCTCGGAAAATAAAAAATTCCTAACAACTTTTAGGACCTCAAAAATTTAACATCTGTTATTGGAAACTCGATTTTTGAAAAACAGGGTAAAACCAATAACTTTCCAACTTTTAAAAATTTTTAATTTTCTTAGCGGGAAGTTAAAAATTTACTATACATGCAAAAATAAAAAAAAAATTTTTTTCTCAGAAATTAAATTTTTTCCGACTGAAAAAAAGAAAGTGAATTTTTGAATTTTTTTTTTCATTTTCCCTAAGAATTTTTTTTTTTTTTTTTTTTTCAATTTCTCAAAGTTCTAGGCAAACTTACGTTGATTTTTAAAAAAACAAAAAAAAAATATACGACCTTATGGAATCTGTAACACAATCTAAAAATTTCATTAAAAATTACGGTCTCCGATAATATAAATTCCTTATATTGAATTCGAGTCTGATTAATTTGATTATTTCTATAATTGATAACAACGTGAATGTAGCTGTTCAATTACTACACTTACGTTTGCTGATATACATGTTTATTGTTTACATATGTCAAATTGAATAACCCACTAGATTCATCTCAGATTTTTTTTACAAGATTACGATTGACTACGATTTATTTGAAACGGTAAGTAATTTTTTATATATTCTATAGGTTATTAAAATTATAACTACGTTTACTTTTTTTTATCTAATGACCTGATTATTAAGTTATTTTCTATTAAAATATTTTATGTCAATGACATTCCGAACACGATTAGAATACTATTTTTTTAAAGCACATTTTACCATTTTTTTTTTTATTAAAAACTATTTTAAAATAAATATTCATTTTTTTTAATTATTTTGAAACTATAATATTATTTAAATATACCATTTATACCATCTTAAATTTCATTTAAAATTTTGAAAAATCTAGGGTTTTTTTAGTACTTTTATTGACCGCTAGGCGGCGAAAAATATTTTTACAAAGAGAGGGGTACCCTCTGAGAATGGCCTTAAGTTTTTAATAATTAGCGTTAATTTAAAAATTTTGGGATTCAGTCACATATCAGTATTATGAGAGTCCATTATGTCAATCTGAAAATTTCATTAAAAATTACGGTCTTCGATAGTATAAATTCCTTATATTGAATTCGAGTCTGATTAATTTGATTATTTCTATAATTGATAACAACGTGAATGTAGCTGTTCAATTATTACACTTACGTTTGCTGATATACACGTTTATTGTTTACATATCTCAAATTGAATAACCCACTAGATTCATCTCAGATTTTTTTTACAAGATTACAATTGACTACGATTTATTTGAAACGGTAAGTAATTTTTTATATATTATTCTATAGGTTATTGAAATTATAACTACGTTTACTTTTTTTTATCTAATGACCTGATTATTAAGTTATTTTCTATTAAAATATTTTATGTCAATGACATTCCGAACACGATTAAAATACTATTTTTTTACAGCACATTTTACCATTTTTTTTTTATTAAAAACTATTTTAAAATAAATATTTATTTTTTTTAATTATTTTGAAACTATAATATTATTTAAATATACCATTTATACCATCTTAAATTTCATTTAAAATTTTGAAAAATCTAGAGTTTTGTTTTAGTACTTTTATTGCCCGCTAGGCGGCGAAAAATATTTTTACAAAGAGAGGGGTACCCTCTGAGAATGGCCTTAATTTTCAAGATAAATGAACTACAATCAATGTTAACCTTGAAACAAATAAATGGTAAGTATATGTTTTAATGTATCCTCATTAACTCCATTAGATAATAATCAAAGCTTAAAGTTTCAAGAATAGAATTCTAAATACCATGACAAATGGGTAATTATAAATCCATTATATCCTAGCTGACGTCATAATACATAATATAACCTATTGAGAAAAAATTACTAGAAATATATATAAGTAGAAGAGGGGAAATTTCACTACCTGCGCTTTTAGGAGTAATTAACCAAAAATTATCTAGACCATTATTCTTTCCAACAGTTCAGTTATAGCGTTTGCAAATATGAAGACCTCCAAAAATACTAAATGATAACCTTAGTGTCAAAAAGTGAATAGTGTAATTAAAAAAAATCAATTATGTACATTCTAAATTACGTAAACGATTACGATGAAGAGCAATCGCGGCTCCGTTGGGCAATTCACGATTCAAAAACAGAATTGGTCCACCAAATGATAAAAGACAACGCCAAATTGAAGAACCACGTGCTGCACATATCAGCTCGCCTTGGAAACATTGTCATCTTGAAGCACTACATCCTGGCAGGGATTGACGTCAACAAAAGAGGCCTCAGAAAGGACAAAGGAATCACACCACTTCAAAGAGCGGTAGCTAGGAACCAATTTGAAGCCGTGAAGCTTCTAATTGCAGCTGGAGCCAAGGTCAACACTGAATTGGTCAATCTGAGAGTCTGCAGAGAAAACTGCTCAATTTTGAACCTTGCTGTGAACAGTGGTCCAAATTTGGCGATCTTGAAGCTCTTATTGGGTAACAATGCTAATGCCAACCAATCTTGCGGCAAATGTTACTCGCCTTTAGTGAAAGCAATTCATGATCATCAAAAAGAGGTTGTTAAGGTTCTTTTGGAAGCTGGCGCTGATGTTAATTTGCTCTGCAATGATGCGGATGATGAGATAACGCCTTTGCACATGGCTGTTAAGCAAAATCAAACGGAAATTGTCAAGCTTTTGTTGGCCAAAAATGCAAATGTTAATGCTTTGACGACTTACAGAAAAGAATCCGTTCTTCACAGCGCTATTCAAGTCTTTGTCGGTCCAAAAGTTGTTAAATGCGTTCTAAATGCGGGAATTGATGTTAATTTGGTGGATTGCAACAATAGAACTGTTTTGGAATTGGCTGTTACAAAGTACACCAAAAGTACTGAGGTTATTAAGGAACATTTGGTTAAAATGAAAGCCGCTGGGTTGTTTTTGTGTGATAAGAATTTGAAAGCTATTGATGGCAAAAATTTTGAGGAGTTTTTTGACTTGTGCTGCAAAGAAGTGGAAGTTATGAAGAATTTGAGGATTAATTGTACAATTGTTACGGTTTATGATTTGATGATTGCCAAGGAACAAGATACTGCTTTGAAAATCAAATTTGTGGAAAATTGTGGAAGTATTTTGGATTACAAAGAAAAATTTCCGGTTTATTGGGATATTATTGAGTATAAATTTGAAAGGGTTTTGGACAGGCAGAAAAGGTTAAAGAAAGTTAATTGTTTTTTGGATCATGTTTTTTGGAATATACTGCCTACTTGTTTTGTTTGGAGTATCTCGGAATATTTGCAAGAGGATTTTGTTGAAGAGCTTTGTAATAAATTGTGAAATATAAAATTAAGTGACTTTTGTGAGGTAATTTGAATAAAATTATATTTTAAGTTTATTGGAAAAATAAAAACATTGAAATTTTTAATATTGATTTTTATTATTTAACCTTTATCAATATTATTAAAAGAATAAGAAAAATATTGTGTCAATTTATTATAATTATTTAGGCTGCATTTGAAAATGCGTTATCTATAGATACATAATTAAGAAATGATCTTGTATCTTGTGACATATTGACATTTTTAAAGATATAAGCTCATCTCGATGTTACACTCATCGAGACCTTTCATTTGAGTACCCACATCAATTTTTTATATATTTATATATATTATATATCCACAGATTCGGTAGAATCTGGGGCCAAGTTCCGTTCAAATCCGTTGTCAGCGCCAGACTACCGACTGTGTTTACTGTAAGCAGAACGGTATTTTGAGGTTGCAAAATTTTATTTAATTCTACGGTATTTTTTTTTCCTAAATTGTATATTATAACAGTAATTCATACTTTATTTTACTGTTATTAATTAATTATATTCACTTATAACAATTAATCTACTTGAAATTACTAAATTTGATCAGCACAAACTATAGCAACGCAAAAATTTCGATCCTGACTTTTTTTCGATGGGCAAAGTGATCTGCCACAGACTAAATAATTCGAGAATGCATAGTAATCCTCGATTAGATGGAAAACTACAGTTAAAAAAAGATATTTCACAGCTTGCATCTACACCCGCCAGGGTGCGCTGGAATTATTTTTACATAAACTGTAGTGTAAAATGCTGAAATAGTGGAAAAACTAAGGATCAGGTTTCGGTCTGGTTATCTCAATTAAAATACAAAAATTATTATTAAAAATATCACTAGAGATTTATTTACTATAAATACACTCAATATTTAATATATTCAATAGCGGATTGATAAGAAAAAAGCGGATTTATAAAACACAGCGTGGATATCAATGCGAAGCCGGTCAGCACGTGGTTGAGCAAATTGCCGGCACTGTAAAAAACGGTGAAACAAAAGCAAATAAACACAATTTATCTGAAACAAACTGAAGCGAAATATTAGCGGTTAATTTAAGCAATTTAAATTATAAAAATAGCGAAATGCGTTTAGTTAACAATGAGCGAAATAAAATAGCGGGAAAGCGAAGCGTTAGACACTTAATGGCGGAGAAGCGAAAGATAATAATAATAGTTCGTCTTCTTCCTCGTCTTGGAGAAGAAGGCTACTGCGCATGTCTAGCGAGAGCGATAGCCAATAAATAAATTCGTTCTATTGATGTCGACGTCGATAGCCAATGGTAAAATTCGATACATGTGGCGTGATCAGTCAAGCGGGTGAGAAATTGCGGGAACGATCGCTTGTCAGGTGCGTGTTGTAATTTTGGGGAGCCCACAGTGACGTATTGCTCACTGAGTGGGCCTGTTCACTGAACATGTAGCTTCAAGGGAATAGTTTGCTATAAAAAAATGCAGCCAACGCGAGATTTAAGTTGGTACCAAATGTAAATTTTTATTATAATTACAAAAAATACTAAAATCCGAACAAAAACAGTTTCACTGTAAAAAAATCGCGCCAAGTCCACGTTCATAAGACTATTAAGAAAAAAAAATTAGTTTTTTTCTTTACAAAAAGATATAAAATAAAAAAATTAAAAAATCCAAGTAACCGATATGATTGTTTATGATTTTCGGAAATTAAAAAAAATTTTGTTGTAAATTTAAAAATTAAAAAAAAAAATTTTGGAACGTACTTGGTGTGCGCGGTTGCAAAATATTTTACTCTTAATTAAATTCGTAAAATCTATTTAATAGGACTTTAAAAAAATTGAAATGCACAATATGACGCACACCAAGTACGTTCCAAAATTGTTTTTTTAATTTTTAAATTTACAACAAAATTTTTTTTAATTTCCGAAAATCATAAACAATCATATCGGTTCCTTGGATTTTTTAATTTTTTTATTTTACATCTTTTTGTAAAGAAAAAACTATTTTTTTTTTCTTAATTGTCTTATGAACGTGGACTTGGCGCGATTTTTTTTCAGTGAAACTGTTTTTGTTCGGATTACATATATATATATATATATACATATATATTTATTAACATTAAAATGGAAATATTTCAATCGAGGTCATTTTTTATAGTCGCGTCATTGTTTTTATTTCCTGTAGATCATCTATATTTTTAAGAGAATAAGAAAAATTTTTTGACCAATCTATTTATATGATAAAATGGGTTTTTATGGTTAAATTGGGTATCGTTTAAAAATATAAATGATCTACAGGAAGTAAAAACAATGACGCGACTATAAAAAATGACCTCGATTAAAATATTTTTATTTTAATGTAAATAAATAAACATAACTATTATCAAGGCTACAATGTAGCATAATTTGATGATTTTAACTCTCAAGTAGATATGACTGATAAAATAAACAAAAATATATTGCGTCACTATTTAAAATTAAGTGACGAAAAACCTCAGATATATATGTAGTTAACATAGCAACGAACGACTTCATTCCGAATCTAAGTACGCACTACGATGGATCGAAAAAATAATTTAAAAAATTATCTCGCTGCGGTGGCAATTTTCTCGGTTTTCGCGGGAATAAATACCGCTAAAATTTCTCTTGGTCAATTAGCAGCGGGCGATGTTGTTAATGACGTGAATTTAGATCAACTTACTGGTGAACTTGTGGGCAATTTGTTCCACGGCGAAACGGGAGGACAGTACGTGAAAAAGCATTTAGAAAAGTACTGGAAAAGTTTTTCTCATATCGTGGCATTTAATTGCAAAAATACTTCCATTCATGCTGGCTACTTTCCGAATATTAATGTTGAAGCTTTAAAAAAAATCGGTTTTAATAACAGTAAATTAACTGGAAATGTCCTCGGTATTGACGATCGCTACGTAGGTAATGATTACATGTGTTTTTCATTCAAATTTTGCGATGCCAGTGTCGAAGAATCTGTTTTGATCGAATTGAAAAATCCAAGTGACTATCCGGAAGATGTTAAACGCTGGATTGAACAAACGGGACTTTCGGGAGCTTGGAGGAAGAATGAAACTTCTTATGTCTCGTCGATTTTTACCGGCGATTGTGTATACCAGGTAATATAATCTAACTTTTACTCTTAGAAAAAAGTAAACTGTAATATTCACTGGGATAATTCCGGTTAATATGTTATATAGTTTCAAACAGTAAAGCTGACATCGGGGCGGCAAAAATATAAATATTACAGAAGTTAATTTAATGTAGAAAGTATAAAAGCCACAATTTATAATTTAATATTCAAAATAAATAATAGTTTTAAAAAAAGTAAAAACACGCTTTTTATAGAAAACCAAACTAAAAAATAGATATTTTATTTTAAAAAAAGCGTGGGGTGCATGGTGTCAATAGTTATAAATATTTTATTGACAGATGTGAGTAGAGTGATTATCATTTTGATAATATCTTGAAAAGCACCCCACGCTTTTTTTAAAATAAAATACATTTTTTTTTATTTACACTATTATTGATTTATATTTATTGAAATTTTTAACACTATTCTTAATATAAATTTATTAAAATTTATTTTCTATTTTGTTAGTTTGGTTTTCTATAAAAAGCGTGTTTTTACTTTTTTTAAACTATTATTTGTTTTGTAGAATTAAAATTCTCCTTAGTATTCGACAAATTTGTCAATATTAGAGAAATCGGCTGAAGATAATTATTAGAAATTAAAATTAACATCAAGTCCTGTCTTATCGACTGTAGAGAAAAATTATAAACAATTAAAATTAACGTTTCTTACCTTATCGACTATAGATGAAAATTATATAAATTATAAATTATAAATAAAAAAATTAAAATTGCAGATTTTGGTCTTTGAAAAACCCGAGTCGAGAATTGGACCTTATAATTACAGAAAACACACTCCTATTCACATTGGTCGGATATCTTCAGCAAGTCACAACGCAACCCTCGAAAACTGGACTAGTGATTTGTTAAATAGAACTGGCCAATCATTGGGCTTTCTTAAAGCTGAAGAGAGAGCTGAAATTCACAAGCAATTTAACAATGCAGCTGTCATTCAGCTAGAGTTAAAATTGCTTCCGGCAATTGATTCTCAAAACTAAAAAATTATTTCTTTTGTTAATTTTTTAATTGATTCAACTTATTGGAAAATAAATAAGCATTATAATATATTTTATATAACAGTCGTTAATATTTCACTCAACAAATGACATTAAACCACCAATCGCACACTTGCAATTGTTGGTTAAAAAGCGTTCCGTCTGGACAGACCATCTGGACACCCGAATTGCTACCGTAGCAAACATAAAACACCTGGGACACAAAAAAAAAAAAACAATTATTTTATTACATCTTAAGCTTTTATAGTAATAATAGTGAAATAATTACTTGACAACGCGAAGATCTATCCGCGATATAAATATGTGTGTCTATATGCGTCGGGCATATAAATTTCTTGGTAGCTCGTTGGTTGTATTCTGTATTTACTGGATAATCTCTGCCAGGTACTCCAGGGATTGCTCCAAATTTTGAGTGTGAATCTGAAGGAAGTTTTGAAATTAAGCTTGTTTATTTGTTTTTTCTTTTTTTTTTTTTCTAATGTAAAATTTGATTTTTTTCAGCTTGATTTAAGACAAAAAGTCTTCGAAATTTTTGGAAGCACTTACCCAAATATTTGAAATGATTAACCCTCTGGAATTCTTTTCTCCTCAATTGACCATCCCTTGAAAACTCCCAATTCCTTCTTTCAGACATTTCTTCGCTGTTTTGATACTTGCGATTTCCCCTCGGAAATTGTGAACCTTTCAAGGGCTTAATCACGCTCAAAGACTGCACCGGTCTCAATTTTATAATATTCCCACCAATTTTGCTCGGGTCCCAAGTTGTTGATTTAACAACGCCATCTGTTTCTTCGCTGTCGTTTTGATCATCATCAATTTCTCGATTATTTTCAAAATTCTTCGGCCTTTTGACCCATCCAAAATCACTCTCGTTTTTTTTTCTATCATCAGATTTTTGCACACCATCAAACCAGTCTCTTGGTCGACTCAAAATTTGAACATTGTGAGCCTTGCTATTGTCCTGAGTATTTCCAAAATTTCTTACGTGAACCGGAGAAAAGTTTTCCCCTATTTTTACCACCTTCAAATTTTTCTTTCCAAAACTTTGCATTTCTTTTTCATCTATTTTCAAAACTTTTAAATTCCGACCAATTCCAAAATTTGTTCTTTCCAAATTTTCATCAAATTTCATATTTTTGTCATTTTCAAAATGTTTATCATTGTTTAAACTTTTAAAATTTTGATCATTATCAAAATTATGATCCCCTAAATTTTTATCTACCTTCAAATTTTTCCAATTTTTATCATTTTCAAAATTATTATTATTAAAAACTTTTACATTTCTACCATTCTCAAAATTTTGTCTTTCCAAATTTTCATCAAATTTCATATTTTTGTCATGTTCAAAATGTTTATCACCGTTCAAAATTTTAAAATTTTGATCATTTCCAAAATTTCGATGTTCAAAATTTTCATTATTAAAAACTTTTGAATTTATATCAATTCCAAAATTTTGTCTTTCCAAATTTTCATCAAAATTCATATTTTTATCATTTTCAAAATGTTTATCACTATTCAAAATTTTAAAATTTTCACCTTTATCAAAATTTTGACTCCCTAAATTTTCATCAACCTTAAACACTTTAAAATTTTGATCATTTCCTAAATCCCGATGTTCTAAATTACCATCTACCTTCAAATTCCTCCAATTTTTATCATTTCCAAAATTACCCCGCTCAAAATTTTCACCAACCTTCAAAACTTTCAAATTTCTCCCATTACCAAAATTATCACTATTACCTTCACTCTGATTTCCAAAATTCCGACTACTTCCTTTCCCAAAATTTCCCCCACCAAAATTCCACCTTTCAAAATTATCCTTCCGCTCAAAATATTCATTTAACTTCCTAACATTATCATTATTATCAAATTCCCCTAAATTTCCAATGCTTCGATTCTTCCAACCTTCCAAATCAATTTTTCCCGAATCTTTCCGCTCATATTTAACATTTCCCAAATTTTCACCAGATTTTTCATCCCTCCTTCCAGGTCCAGTAATCTCATAAATCCTCAATTTTTTAACACTGTCACTCCGATTTCTCTCCCCCGAATTCTCCTCCAAGCCTTTTTGATCTTCACGGCTCAAATTTTCCCTGTCAAAATCATTAATCGACGACGAATAATAATAAAAAGGAGGCTGCAAAATCGGCCAGGGAATTCCTGACTCTGCGGAGTCAATGTCGCTTAAAACATTGAACTTTTTTCCAAAATTTCCATTTCCTTCCCACTGAATCCTCACAACATCTTCATCTTCGTCGCTTTCTTCTCCCAAATCTCCCCTTAATTTCTTTATTTTATTCTCTACATCTCTTCCTAAAGTCAAATTGAAACCTGCCGATTTTTTTTACAATTTTAATTATTAATTAATTAATGTTTAAATTATTTAATACTTACTGCAAAGTAACACAATAAAAAATTTAATATCCATAATATAAATTTAAATTTATAAAATTAATTATGACACTTTTATTCTGTTTTTGTCGGCACAACTAATAAGACTAAATGATAGTTTAGTTATAATTTATAATATTTTTTAATATAAAAAAGTATTGTTGTAAGGACAATTGTATTAATACAAAGTAGTTGCACGTAGAAGAGTCAGCAGTTTACTGTACACTTGGAATCTGAGGATGTTGCTGCAAGCCTTTCCGTGAACAATTGTAAGAGAGGTAATTGGTAAGTTGTAAGTATGTTTAATATTATATTTTTGTTAAGGTCTCGGCGTTTAACTTATCATTCATATTTATCTATTGTTTATGATTTTTCATATTCACGTAATTAATTTATATGAGATTTAGATATTTATAATTTTATTATTGTGAAACATTTAAATCAAATTTTTAGATAATTATCTAATAGAGAAATGTAATTGTTTGATTTTAAAATTATTATTTAACGCTTTCAAAATTTTTCAATGATAATAATAATAACAAGCAACCATGCAGTCACTACGTGACTGCCGTAGTGAACGATAAGTAAAGTTTTGCTTTTTTAAATAATGATTCTTATTAAATTGCATTGTATTTTCTTAAATATTGATGTTTTTAAAGATATAAGCTCATCCCGATGTTACACTCATCAAGAGCTTTCATTTGAGTACCCACTTGCATTTTTGATATATTTTTCATATATAAATATATATAATATATATAAATATATGAAATATATGAAAAATTGATGTGGGTACTCAAATGAAAGGTCTCGATGAGTGTAATTTTGAGGTGAGCTTGTATTATTAAAAATGTCCATATTTGATAAAGTATAAGTTCATTTCTTAATAATTGATATTTTTAAAGATATAAGCTCATCCCGATGTTACACTCATCAAGAGCTTTCATTTGAGTACCCACATGCATTTTTTATATATGTTTCATATATACATATATATAGAAATATATAAATATATAAAATATATGAAAAATTGATGTGGGTATTCAAATGAAAGGTCTCAATGAGTTATATCTTTAAAAATGTCAATCGTAAATACACTAGCCACAAAATTTTGCTTATTCTCTTAATAATATAGATTATAATAAATTTTTTTATTATTATCATTAATTTTTTTAATCTTTTAAATTTTACTAATTACTTAAAAAAAATCAAACTAAAATTTTCGGAAGATTATTACTAGAAGAAAAAAAAAATTAAATATTCAAACTTTGATATGAATCTTTGACATAATGATTCATTGTTCGCAATATTGAAAAGAAGAGACCAGTATTAACAAATAAGATAATAAGAAGCTATTTAAAAGGTTCAAGATATGATGAAGGATGCAGGATCTGTAAGATAAGCTTGTGGGTTAGCAATAAATAAAAAATGAAACAACGGATGTTATTATGAACAAACCGTGCGTGATGCATGTCGTTGTCTTCACACTTGAGGAAAGACTTTTTCTATTGAGAAGGTAACTGTGCGAGACTTTAAAAACGAAATAGTAATGATACCATCATCCTGTTTGTTTTATTTAGTATTTATCGACCTTGCTGTCTTTAAATATCCAATTTTTTTTACTTACTTTCCACTTCAAAGGTTAAAAAATTTTATCGAAAAAAAAATGGATATATTTAAAAAAAAAAAATTTTTTTTAATAATTTTATTAAAAATAAAATAAAAAAAAAATTGAATTAAATTTTATAATTAATATAAATATACGTTTTTAATGA